CCCAGGGAGCTGAACGGGGAATAGGTGTTCTTACGTTCACCCAAAAGGTTTTTTAAAAAATTTTTCATTGTGATAAAATACATATGATATAAGATTTACCACCTTATCCCATTTTCAGTGTTCAGTGGCATTAAGCACATTCACAGTGTTGTGTGCCATCACCACCATCCATCTCCAGAGCTCTTTTCGTCTTCCCCAACTGAAGCTGTGTCCCCATTGAACACCAACTCCCCATTCCACCTCGCCTAGTCCCTGGCAACCACCGTTCTACTTTCTGTTTTTATGAATTTGACTACTCTAGGGACCTCACATAAGTGGACTCATACAATGTTGGTATTTTTGTGACAGCTTGTTTCACTTAGCGCAATGTCTTCAGACTTCATCCATGTTGTAGTGTGTGTCAGAATTTCCTTCCTTTTTAAGGCTGAATAATATTCTGTTGTATGTATAGACCACATTTTATTTATCCATTCCTCCATTGATGGACATTTGGGCTGCTTCCACCTTTTGTTTGTTGTGAATAATGTTACTGTGAACATTGGTGTTTAAGTGTCTGTTTGAGTCTGTGCTTCTAATTCTTTGGGGTGTGTTCCCAGAAGTGGAATTACTAGATCACATGGTAATCCTATGTTTAACTTTTTGAGGAACTGTCATAGTGCCCAACAGGTTTTTGCAGAAAGCCAGTAGAATGCGCCCAAACTGTGCAGACCCCATCCTAACCCTCCCCCCTAAGGAGCCCCGCTTCTCCCGAGCACAGTGTGGACACACGCAGAGCTTCAGGAGGTGGTGAGGCTCCTATCTCTAGAAGCAGCGAGGGAGCTATTAGCAACATCAATCAACACCTTTCCTGGAGTGGCCAGGGGACAGACCTCAATCTTTTGTGGTCTCCAAGACCATCCATCACTAGGATACCTCAGGTCACATCGCCATCTGATTTGTTCTCCAAGCAGAAGCCCTCCCTCCATGACTTTCTGTTTTCACCTCTTCCTGTGGTCTGAATTCCCTCACTCAGTTAATTAGTATGCCTGGCACTGTAGCTTAAGACTTTAATCAGCGTGGGGTGGTTTTAATTAATCGTGTGGCTCTGCATCTGGAGTGGTTTGTATTCCAGGGTCAGGAGAGGAGCCGGAGATGGGGGATGGGAGAGGCGGCTTTGTGTGGTGGAAGGTCTGGGTGGAGCATCTAGCTATTCGGGGAGAGAGAATCAGAGTCCGAGGTCCTCAGAAGCTACCTGGCCACCTGTGCAGAACACTAGCAAGGTGTGGAAAGTACCCAGAGCCATTAGGGTGTAGAATTGCACTGACATAAATGATAGACTAAATCCAGTTTTCAAAAGTGATTTAAAGTGTCGGGAAATTTTCTGATGCTTTCCAGAATTACACATGGGGTGAGGAGTGAGGCAAAGCAATGATGTCGATTGGGAAATGCAGGTCAGTCTGGGAGAGCGAGGCTGTGCTTGAGGACACTGCTGCCAACAGGGCTTTGGAAACTTCTCTGGGCCCAACCTTCGTTGGGAAAGTCCTGGGAAGGTGAAGGGGGGGTGGCACCTAGCTCTCAAATAATGGTACCCTTTTTTTTTTTTTTAAGATTGGCACCTGAGCTAATAACTGTTGCCAATCTTTTTTTTTTTTTTCTGCTTTATCTCCCCAAACCCACCCCGTACGTAGTTGTATATCTTAGTTGCAGGTCCTTCTAGTTGTGGGACGTGGGACACCGCCTCAATGCGGCCTGACGAGCGGTGCCATGTCCGCGTCCAGGATCCGAACCCTGGGCTGCCGCAGCAGAGCGCGCAAACTTAACCACTCAGCCACGGAGTCAGCCCCCGCTACCCTTTCTGCTTGGTCTGTTGGAATCCCGTTTGCTCCCCAGTTTTAGCATCCACACTTTAAAAAGAACGGAGAAAATCTAGATAAAGTTCAGAAGAGTAATAAAAAATGACCAAACAAATAGATAGAAAGATCCTGTAAGAAAAGGAAGTTGAGTCTCATTGTAACTGCCCAGGACTTCTGTCCCTGTCCCACAGGGATCCACCTAGACGAAAAGCAAAGGAAAATACGTGACTGTCACAGTTGCTGGTGAAAGCACTGAGTAAGGCCAGGAAGCTGGGATCACCCCAAGGTTTCATCCCAAAGATGAAGCAGTGAACAGTTTAGGAGCAGACTTCACTGTTCAAGAGGGAATGGTGTGATCAAACTGACCAAGAAGACAGGGTCTTCCAGGCCTGTTCAACTCCTGACCAAGTTCAGCCGGCCTCAGAAGACTGCTGGAGCAGTTTGCTGTGATGCGGGGGAGAGGTAAAGCGATGGTGCAGAGAAGAATGGGTATTAACAAGGGAGACAGCAGTAATCATAACCGGCACTAGTAACGTGCTTGATCATTTACAAAGCAGTTTCCTACCTATCAGGTCGTCTGTGCTCTAGGAAACTCCGTGAATTAGGTGGGGATTTTTATCTCCATGTTTAAAGATGAGGACAAAGGAGACCCGGAGACAATAGGATCTTACTGCTGGTAAATGGTGAGGCTAGAATTGGAACCTAGCACTCCGGGCTCCTGCACTCTTACCAACCAAATGAAAATGACTCTTTTTTAAAATCAAGAGAGGAAGGACTTTTCAATTCTAGGTGTTGACATTATTAAATACTAGTTGCAAGATAGTTTTAGAAATCTGAATGCCGAGGCTTTTAAGAATATCAAATTCACCAGGCAGCTGGCTCTTTACGTTGCACCCCCCGGAACCCCATGGCGCATCCATCGAAGACAGATTATAGAATGTGTCCATGCGAGAAACAGGGGAGGATATTAATTAAGTTTAGACCAAGAAAATGCTTTGGATCGAACAAGCCATGATTTTCTCTTTAAGCTCATGCGAAATATGGAGTGCTAGACAAGCAGCTGGAACCTATGAAAACGTTATTATGTACTTATGTTACCAACTTTCACCATCTATGGCCCTTTTTATTACTTTTTTCCCCTCCAGACATCATGTTTTGAAAGATTTTTGCCTACTAAACAAACTGCATTTATTAGGTAATAATATATTTCCTATTTTTACTATGGGAAATACATCACTGAGTATGCATACAGACAGAAAACAGCAACGATCCAATTCCCATTAGGTTTTCAGAAACATTGGAAATATCTGTGGACCTCATTAACACTCATGGATTCCTAGGAGTCCTGGTACTTGGGGGTGGCAACCACTATTTATGTGCTTACCTCACTAGCATGTCTATGCCCATTTGAGGGGTGGGGAAAGGAATTAAAGAGGCCACAGGAAGAGGGGAAGTTCCCGGCTGTGTGTAGACTCAGCGGGGTAATTTGTAAGAACCTGATTGTCAGGATTAATTACAAAAATAGGAAGGTTGTGGGTAGGCAGAGCTGAGGCATGGCTCATGCTGATTACATGAGTGGTAATAAAAGGGAAGATAAAATTCCAAATGTAGAAAAAGACATCCGAGAGTGCGGAGAAAGGGCCACCAAGGCCGAGGGCAAAGCTATAGGAATGGGAGCAGGAAGGTAAAAGGTGACTTGGAAGAAGGGAAAATGCAATGTGGTCATGAAGAATGCTCGGTGTGCATTTGAGAAAACAAAAAAAGAAATATAAAGGGAATAAGAAAATTAAGGTGGAAAGGGAAAAGAGATCATGCGGGATTTGGAATTAATTATGAATTAATTCCAAAAGAGAGTCGAGACTAATTGAGTAGGCGCTGGTGCCAGTTCGCCTGTGCATGAGTTACGAGTAGCCCCTGCCAAGTGGTACATCATTTTACGGAGGCAGATGCCCGAGGAACGACAGGGAAAACAGCCTCTGCGTTTGCTCGTGAAGCACAGAGGCTCGGTCAGGTCAGCGTGGCTTATACTTCTCAGGCCTGTTGTCTGCTGGCGAGAAATTAAAAAGGACGACCACATCAAATTCTCTTAGCTCGAGCTGAAAGATAAGGTCAGAAGTCTCCCATTGAAATAAAAAGGTATCCCAAATGGAAAAGAATGGTTTTTAAAAAAAAAGAAGAAACACTTTTTGTAAAGAAGAAACTGGCAAAAATGGAGAATAAAGACCAAGGCCATAGAAAGAAAACTAAGATTCCATTTGATCCTGTGTATTGTTGTGAAGTACGTACTTCCTTTCAGCCCAGAGGAGTCCTGTAAAGACATCACCGGGCAAAGCCAAATTGGAGAACAAAGAAATGCAAAAGCTCTTTAGGAGCATACAGGAAACGGGAAGCGTTTGGGCTAAGCAGGAATGTTATGTGGAACATTTTACATTAACAAGCGGCTGGTGGAAGCGAATATAGAGTTTGGGGTCGGAGAGGAAGCCCCTTGTGATGAAGAGGGTGTGGGTAGGAGGAGAAATAGCAACAGCTGCTCCTTGAAAGCACCAGAGTGAAAACATTGAGAGCCAGTTGGCCACCGTTATGAGAAAGAGTGAGTGTGCAAGGAACTGCCACAAAGCGAGCTGATTACACCTTGTTAAAAGGCACTGAGAGAGAGAGAGAGAGAAAGAAAAGGGTCTTGGGCTTGGGTTGAAGGCTCTCTGGAACCCCAAAAATGACAGAACCTGAAGAAGGACTGGGAAGAAGGCAAAACACTGTATGGCAGAAGAGAAACAAGAATGGAGAAAGAATAAACATTGGTGTTTATGACATTGATAAGAAACAAATATGTGATGAATTGGATGTTTGTAGACTTATTTTTGGGTTTTGGTGGTGGGGAAATTTACAGGTACACTATACAAATATCATTTATAATAATTTAATATGAACTCTGTGGAGTCAATTCCCAGGCACTGCTAAGAAAATAACAGGTGGTTGTCTCCTCTGCATGCTTATGTGGCCACCTGCTCAAATGTGATCACTCAAGGTCCCTTTCGGGTCTGGGGCTCTAGGCCCCTTCGTGCTCCTACACTGTTTTAGGTGATATACCTGATAGAATATCTCTTTCTGGTGACCTACTGGGTGTTCTGCAAAATCTTGACTGCTCCCTCCCTTGTCATCCTGTCCTAGCTCACCAGGGTCCCTGTGGAGTCCTGTGGTCAGTACCAGAGCTGCAGCGAGTGCCTTGGCTCCGGCGATCCCCACTGCGGCTGGTGTGTGCTCCACAACACGTGAGTACCGATGGGCAGCTTCCTCCTGCCTCCCACTTCCCCCCATAATTCTCTCTTCCTCCTCCTCTTCTTCTCTCTCACCCCTCTCCTTCCCTTTGACCTCTCTTCTCACCCTGTCTTTTCTTACTCTTCCTTCCTTATATCATTTACAAATTTCCTCTCTCTTCTTTTGTTCTGATTTCACTTTAAATTGCCAAATTCCCATAAGGTGTATGGAAATGTCAGCATGGGAGGTTGGGTTAGGATATGAAGTCGCACACTGGATAATTACACACCGGAGGGCTGGAGGGAGATTGCTGGACATTTCTGACTGAGACTTGACTGCAGACTGACATTCCAGGATTGAACACCAGGAAAAAGGCATTGGACATTTTTCTCAAGGCCCACATGGGCCACTAAATCATGTGCGAGATATGTCCTGTCCATTTAGTGATTCAACATCCACTTAACAGACTCTTCGATATGCCCCAGAATCTTCTGGTACTTGAGGGGTACAGTTCAAGTATGTAGCACCCAAGAACCTTCTCTCTGCTATCATACCACCCATCCAGCTGTCAGAGCACCCTGGGCCTGGGGTCACTGGACCAGTGAAGCCCAGTCCCAAACGCTGGGCGCTCTCCCTATATGCCTCTTTTGTGCTGGCTCCTTCTTATCCTTTAGAAGTGGGAGGAAGGCAATGGTATACCCTGGAGGCAAACGGCAGCCTGGTGCATGATCTGAGGGATGGGATGCAGGGTACAGAAACCCAGCCCAGACATGTGAGGAGAGCTGAAGGCCTTTTGTGGGGGATCCAAAGACCCTCGGCATCACTGACTGAAGAAGCCAACAGTAGTTGGGTGCCACTCTAATGGAATTTGGTCCTAGTCAAGCTGTTGTTACTGGAACCCTGGCTTCTGGTCAGCACTTGAAACTTGACGCGCTATGATTTGGATACAAGTGTTATAAATTAAGGAGAAGTACTTTAGTCTTCCTTCTAAGAGCCTAAACTTTACGTGACCAACAACATTTATCAGTCATTTTCAACTCCTGGGGTGCCTCTGAAAGTTAGAAACACCCTCTTAAATTCGAATTCATCCTCTCCAAGGGTACAGGCACCCTCCCATCTCTGGGTGACAGACTCAGGCATAATGAGTCCTTGAGTTCTTTAAGAAAGGTCTGAAATCCCTCAGGAATGTTATGGTGGGAAAAAAAATGAGAACCGTTGACCTGCACTGAAATGCATATAACTCAGAGATGATCGGAAACTGGGTGCAGGAGTGTGCACAAAGGTATATGTTGTAACAGAGAGCAGTGGAGCCTAAGAGTGGCCTGCATAAAAGAGGATGGAAGAGACTGCATTCAGAATTCAGCTCTCATCAACCCAGAAGAGTTGCCTAGATGATACTCTGCAAGGCAGAAGGGAAGTCGCTTTCTTTGTCCCACACAGTAAGGCCTCTCAGAAAGGGACTGTGCTCCAGACCCCTTGCTTCCTTGAGGGCCTGGAGGCTAGCTGGGTTTCTGCTTGGCCAAGGATGGCTTAGTTGCTCCTGGCATGGGCCTCTCACACCTGGCATCATTCAGGGGCAATCAGAAAAGCTGCTCCTTCTCTGACACTCTGTGCCTGTGGAACCCAAAGACAGTTCTCCGTGTCAGCTTTGATCCCGCCTAGTGATGCTGGCCAGCCCCACATAGCTCCGAGCCCTGTGAGGTGCAGGGACCCTGAGGCTCTGCGAAGGCAGCAAAGGGGGCTGCAAGTACCCCACATCCCATCCCCACTGCTGAGTTAAACAGTAATGAGAGGAGAAGGTACCAGAGACTACTTCGGGTGTAGCCTCAATTTTGCCTTTAGTAACATAATGCTTGCCTCCTATCAAGTGAGTGGACTGGGGCCAGGGTAAAGTCTGGACAGTTCATGAAGGAGGCCGTCAGCCTACACTGAGAAGCCAGCAGCTCTACTCTCGGCACGGCCTAAAGAAAACAGCCATGGACATGAACTTTGGGCATCTGCCACCAAGTCCAAATTCCACATCCCCCAGCTGTGTGGCAACCGGGGCAGCATCCCAGCTCCTCATCTGGGATTTGGAGCTGGTCATGCTGTCTTGCCCACCTCATTGAGTCATTGGAGAATCAAGTGAGATCGTGTGAGTGGAAGGGCACTATGAACTGTGGAGTGCATGAAATGTAAAGTGGGATCTCACCGGAAATCTTGACACAGTTGGGGAAGGACTGACAGCTCAAGGGGGCCCTGCCTCTTATGACTTTGGTTGACCCCCACTGATTTTCTGGATGGCTCTACTTTAGTTGTATCCTTCCCTTCGCATGCGTATCCTAGCCTCAGACTGCCTTCCTCTGAGTGGTAGATGTTCCTGCTGGATTCCTCTCACGTCTGTTAACCTGGCATCATGTCTCACTTTGAAGTTTGCACATCTTATGTGTGTCATGCCGGTACAGCCCTTATTAAGCACAGGCTCTCAGAAAGCAGGGGCTGTGCAAGTACTTTCTCTGTGTCTGCTACTCAGCACTGAGACCCTGCTGCTGCTGCTGGTGGCCCCTCCTCACCCAAAATGCCACAGTGGGTGCAGGCGTGGGAAAGCCATGAGGGACTTTGGAAGGATGACTGAAATGGAAACCAGTGGCCTCTAGTCCTCACTTTTTGCACACATGCTGTGGGGCTTTGGATGAGTATAGTCAGTTCTCATTATTCGTGGTAGCTCTGTTCTGTAAAGTCACCGCGAACACCAAGTTAGTGAACACTGAACCATTGCTCCTAGGGGAAATACAGCACTGGGTTCCTATGAGCCTCTGGCCACGACATTTTTGTCAACCAGTCAGTATATAACCATGTTTTATGTGTGTTTCTGTCTAAAGACACCTTATTTAATAGATATCGTTTCATTGTTGTTGAACTCACGGCCAACAGCACTAAATTCGTGCCTAAAAGAAGCTCGCCTAATGCACGTATTTCCTCGATAACGCACATCACAGCCTTCTTGCACTTAGGAACTAGACAGCATGACACTTGGGGGCCATTTTAAACAGCAAAGTCACCAAAACCCCTACAAAAATGTGAAAAATGTGACACTAAATAGACCATGAAAAGGACACTTGTTTTTAGCAAAAGCTGAAACAAGAAGGCGAGTGTCCTTCCTTTGTGGGACCTCTGTTGGGAATGTGTGTGTGTGGTCACTCCAACTTTTCGCCACTCTGCTCACGTCCAGAAGTGACCATGAAAGTGCTGCAGTATCGATTTGGGGATTATAAGTAAATGTTAGCAAGTGGGCAAATTCACAAATATGGAATCCACAGATAATGAGGATCGACTGTAACTCTGCATCAGAAACTTGGCATCCTCGTTTATAAAGAGGGAGCATGGTAGCTTTTCACAGTGGAGGCGTGAGGATAAAATTAGGTATAAAGGGTGTTATAGAAGTCCAAGGTTCTCCACCAGGTCAAAGTGTGGTTCTCCATAACCTTGAGCCTCCTGGTTGTGTGAAGACCCTGGGGATCGGGGCTGTGCTGATGTAGCTGGTAGAGCCCAGCTCCCCTGGGAGGGTTCAGCCTATGAGTAACCCCAGGCCGTGCTGCCTGCCCACCGTGACACTCAGTAAATCCTCCCTCCCTCCCAGAGTCGATGACCAAGGAGAAGCCCCCGGCCCACGTGGCTGGTGAAGAAGAGTAGATCCCCTAAATCTTCTAAGATGCTCATGATGGGATGTAATGTTTAATTCGTATAGAGTGAGATGCAAGATCCTAAGTGAACAGTTTGAAAAGTTTTGGCAAATGCAAACACTTGGGTAATCCACGCCCTTATCGAGATCTACAGCTTTTCCTTCATCCAGAACGTTCTCTTATGCTCCTTCCCATTCATCCCAGTGGGCCTTTCTTCCCTAGTGGCTTAAATTCAGGTCAAAGACTCTCCTGATATACCCTCCCTTTCATTATAAACAGATGCCAACTGAATATTCCTGGCTGGGAGAGAAGCATGAGGACGTGGGCCGAGCAGGAGGGAAGGGAGAAGGCTGGGGCAGGCAGAGTTGGTGCAGAAGGAGGAGGACCAGGGGGAGCCTGCAGATATTACTCTGGGATGCTTCGGTTTGCTGGGGAGGGTCCACGGTGAAAAGTGCAGGATACTTGGTTGCTTTGGAGGAGTGCTGTGCCCATACACACGGACTTGTCCGTGGCTCTTTCACAGCAGCCTGCTCCCTCTGTGCCAGGCACCGTGCTAGGCTCAGGTGATTCCAGGGAACTATGTTAAACCATCCACCCTGAAACTTCTTGGGAACCAGGCCTCTGGTCCAGGGATGGGGTGGGCTTGCAGTCTGTACTGGAATCAGTGCATTTGTCAGGCCTGAGCCATGGGCAGGACCGTGTGCTAAGTGCAGGGCCCAGCAGCCTGAGCCCAGGAAAAGAGGCAAAAGAGCATCAGGAAGAGGGTTCCTTTGGGTGTCAAGATGCATCTGTTGTCTCTGTCACTTTTGCCAACTTTTCCCAAGGTGGTAGGGAGTAAGAAGGTGGGAACTTTGTGGGAAGAGGGCAACAGAAGCTCTGTGAGAGTGTGTGTGTGTGTGTGTGTGTTGTGTGTCTGTGTCTATGTGAGAGAGAGAAAGAGAACGACAGAGAGACAGAGAGGGACAGAGAGACGGAGGGAGAGGCAGAGACAGAGAAACAGGAGGGGAGAGAGTGCGAGATCATGTGCAGTTCAAGGGCGGAGCCCCTACAAGCAGGAGGCTCAGGTGACTGAAAGGGCCATTTGTACCAGCAGAGGCACAGGTGGGTTGCAGACTGAACAGGCTTAAGAAATGTTCGTGTAACTGAAACCCTCCCTCTGTTACTCACCCTCAGTTGTCCTGAAGCACTGGCCTGCCAACCCAGTAGCACGGAGGGTCAGCCCCAGGGGCTTGCTGGTTTCTATGGCTATGACAGCTTCAACAAGCTGGGCATTTATTTGGCCCTGAAGCTTGAGCCTTTGTGCCCAGGGCATTCACCTTGGGCCTGAGCCTGCCTGTTCTGACATGGGTGAA